AGGGAGACGGCGCAGGGGGGGGGGTGCGGAGTGACCATAGTACACAAATACGGAAAAATCCACAGCAAGAGTCATTACCGGCGAAAATTTCTTTCGCTAATCGCTGCCAACATTTCTTGAAGTCCGTTTTGTGTAGTATAACTGCTGTTTACGGCGCAGTACCGCGTTAACGAAGTTATCACAGAATAGCTGCAGTTTCTGGGGCACAAAATCGTGCCCCACGCGGAGTCGAACCCCCGCCCTACACCTTTCCCGGGCGAGTGCGCTAATCGGATTACGGCCACCACCGGGCCTATTTCATTATCCTGCCCTCAGGCTTAACGGCTTATCCGTACTACAGCAACTCACACCAACACAGCACGTTTACCTTGTGGACGCCGGTTCAGTACAACCGCACGCTACCACATCACGAGAACCACTGGAACGCCATAACCCAACTTTGCCACATAACTCAGCAATTCTACAATGATGAACAACTTTCGTCGGTAGGAACTGCGGGAATACCGTTATCTAAGACAACAAGCTTTCCACAAACTTGTAGAATGCCATATCGGCGCTCGCGGTTCCCATGCCCATATCTAACGATTACGCTGACCAGCAACCAAGGTTAAAACGTGTTGAGTGCTGTAGGCTAACGGCATAAGCCGTTAAGCTGAGAGGGTGAAATAGGCCCTGGTGGCGTAACGGATAGCGCACTCGCCCGGAAAGCGTGAGGTGCGGGTTCGACTCCCGCCTGGGGCACGACTTTTGCCCATAACTCAGCATTCTTGTGATAGTCGCAAAATTTCTTCTTGAAGGAACAATACAACTCCCATCTTTGAGCAACGACTCAATTGTCGGTCCCCTCTCCCCCCCCCCTTTCCGCCCAAACGAAAGTACAGATATGCCTTTTTGTTTCCATCAAACGATACTGTACCGCGCTGTGTACCACTGGTGCCCAAATCGACCTTCCTGATTCAATTTTCGCAGGGCGTTGCGGGACACTTGCTCTTGGGGCGCAATGGCAGAAAGATAATTGGCTCTGTAAGCTTGAAAAACGTGTTTCCCTGCTTATAACCGATGTTGCATGATAGTGAAGATCAGGCCATGGGCGCTGGACACCATCTTTTACTGGAGAGCGCTGTCGACTTCGAGAGGGGTGGGGGGGGGGGTGGGGAGGAACAATTTTTGCATTTCCGCTAGCTTCGTGTGTGAATGGTGCAACAATGTACACGCAAGACTTTTGTTCATGTGGTTTTTTTACAAGGCACTTACATGGTGGCCCTTCGTAAGGCTTTGCATAGATACTGTTCTCTGCCCGCCACCAATCGCGAAACTGTGCATCATCAGCGTCCAACTAGCATACCTGCGCCACCACCTTCTCAAATTGCAAACCAATAAATGTTGTTTAGCCAGCAGAGCGGCTTCCAAAGGAGCGGTGGTGGATTAAACACACCTCCGCCACCCATCAAAGTAGTGGACTTTTGGCACTACTATGAACATATAGTGGGGGTGGGGGTAGGTGACAACGGTGGGGTGTATGTTAAAATAACGTAAGCGTAGAAATCAATAAATAAAAAGAAACAAGGAATAAAGTAGAAACGTTTCATCTTTACGGCAAAGTACGGCACCCTTTCCTCTTCTCGCGCTTAAACATATTCTGCATGAGTATTGCGCACGACTGGGTGCGCACACTTCCAGGCTCTATAATGGCCAAGTAACGCGAGTGATGGGAAGGGGGGGGGAAACGCCTGGTAACTATCGGAAATAGTAGAAACAGTAAAACTGACAAGTCGTGTGGAGAAAAAGTGCGTCTAGCTGTGTAATTTATATTAAAACTAACGGGACGCCGCTGGTGCAGAGGGTAGAACGCATCGAAGCGTTAAAAATTAATAATTGGGAGAAATTTTCCACCATACGAAATATCACCCCTCCTCCTTCTCGTTGGTGTATTGCCAACCTGTCCACAGTTGAGTAAACAATCACAGTCAGTGAGAGGTGTCATTTTGAGCCAGTTTTCTATTCCATCCAATTGCCAATTCTCACTGCACTATGTGCCAACTCTGGGGCATTGTTAGAGGCTATGTTCCAGCAGCAATACTTCTACCCTAATATTATAAAGTGCGAGTCATAGATAAGTGCGAATTTGGTACACGCAATAATACCTGCAGCCAGGGTAACGGGTTACAAATGAAAAAGAAAAAGATGAATTGTGAAATATCTCTTACCTTATGTTCAATTTTCATGATTGATGCTGTGGGGTTTCACAGGGATATGAATTCCCTTTTGCGTGAATATCACTTCAGTATACTTGGAATACTGCGAAGTAGAGGTAAAAGCCAGACGTCGTTGGGTATATGAGCACAGGGACGACTGTGAGGCGAGAGTGTGTATGTGTTGTGCTAGTGAAGTGCCTTATCAGGGTAGATAAGGACGCAAAGCGATGGCGACGGTGTAGGGTCAGGAAGTAAACGCTGCCTGGTTGCCCATGAGACACAACTGTATCAGCCGTCTGATAGTGAATGACCAGATGTGACTATTGTCTGAAAAGGTCAGCGAACATCGCCAAAAATGTTCATTTTCAAAAAGTACCAGTAATAAACCAACCAATTGTAATCTCGGTTGGTTACTCTCATCCAGCAACTCAAAAGCCTAACGTCCTGGCGTAATCTCCTTTTTCGCGGACCAAAAAGCAAAGTGTCATATTGGGTGCCACAGAAACATCGTGAGTGAATGGTATGTGCTGCACACAACGTTATGTTTATTATGAATGCCAGACCGCCAGACCGGCATCGCGTTGTGTAAAATTAGGTATGAACTCGTCCCCCTCAATTTGTCTACACGTTTAGACCCCCCCCCCTCCCTCACAACGTATTTTGCTTAACCTTTATCGTCGACCAGGGAGAGGAGGTATGATGGGTGACATGGTGGTGTCCCGTCTCGCAACCTGTGTACTCTTGAACTATGGATAAAACCCATATTAGAAATTACACTTCACCCAAATTAACACGGCTTCCACATTTTCCAGCAAAATTCTGGCTGGCTCTCGCACCTCGAATAGGGGCATTCAGAGGGATAAGGGGTGAAAAGAAGGGATACTGCGCACGTGGAAGAGAGATATAGACGCTCTCACGACCCCCTCGCAAACGAGAAATAGTTTTGCCACGGCGCAGAAACGTCCAAGCTAATTTGTGGCTTTGACGCCGTTTTGAATCCACTAGCGATGCATTTGCATCGGTGCAGAAACTTGTCGTGCATTGCCTACCGTAAACCTAATTTCGTACCCAGAGTTTTCAACGGCTATTTTTTGTGACGAGTTTCCTCTCCTATGATTTTTTTTCGTTTTTTTTTGTGGTGTGGGGTAGGCGTTTAGAAATAGATTGTATGAAAAACGCCATGAGCCACGGATTGCACAGGTGAAGCAGTTTCGGAATGCCAGCACTCCGGAAGACTCTTGCATGAAGCGTGGTTGTCAAGGAGCGGTCCTTATTGAGGATTCTCATTTTTTTGGATTTTCCTCACTCGAGAGCCTTTTATATACAGGGGGGTGGGGGCAAAAAAAAGTCACTTTTGACCGAGTCACATATCAGCAAAGTTTTTTCGCTGCCCAGACAGTAGGACGTGGATACGAGTTCCAGGGCGGAAGATACCCAAGATGTTCCTCTACAAGCAGGAGCTGGCTCTCGCCCATCACCTTCATGTACACCAAAATATGAAGTCATCTCCAGTCGCAGCCTGACTGGAGAAGACCTTTGGAATTCATGTCACCTCCAAACAGCTGCGAAACTCCTAGTTTCCAACTGCCATGGGTAGACCGCTGGAGACCAGTACTCTGCAATCTGGAAGACCCTCCAATGTCGAGGCAAGCTGCCCGACAACGTCGCTACGGTCTAGGACATCATCTTCACGGCAGTCGCCAAGGCGCGGGTTGATGGTATGGACCGGACGCACCTGGAATGGAAAGACCAATATTTTCTTCGTGGACCCCGGGCTGAAGCTGAGCGCTGGCGGTTACATCGACCAACTCAAGTAAGAACTTCCCCCCACATGTCTGCGTCCGTACGCTTCTTGGAGGTACCTAAAGAAATTGAATATGGCCAAGTAGGTCAGCCTTAACCTGACATCCCTTTTAGATTACCCAGTTCGGGCGGAGTTCAATAGGGTGGTCTACGGTGGCGGAGAAATCGACTATCTCGCTGATCTCAGGCACCACATCGCGGTTGCGTGCCAGAATCTCTCGATGGCGCTCGTCCAGCACAGTCTGTTGGGCGCGGTGTTATGATAGTATTTAATATGCTCTTTAATAGGTGGTGAAAATGTCCGATGAGAATTTAATAAAGTGTGTAATTTATAGCGCCTCGAAAGTCAATGAAGAAAAGTGACTTTTTTTTGGCCCCGTCCTGTATAAGTGGCCACTTGTTCATAAGCGAACACCTATTTCACGTAATACTTGGTCGTGGGAGTTTTCTTTGACTTCTCCGTAGATAGGTTAAAGTTTGCTGATTGTTCCTATACCGAGTTCCAGAAAAAAAATTTTATTTACCTCAATCCTTCTTTTAATATATTCGGACTATTAACAACAACAAACGTGGTAGCTTTATCAATATGGCATCCACAAATCCACAAATATTTAGCGAGAATACCCGTTTTTGGTCAGAATACTTTTACAGTAGCTCATTTCGCAAGTTCCGGCTTTTCAAAGTTTCTATAGGTTTTCCAATCCATGTTCTTACCTTGTAATTTCCAAAATTTCCGCTATGAGGTGCAAAAACGGAAGTTTCCGTTCCTCACAGCGAGAACTGAAGCCAAAACTTCACCATCGGAGTAGCGAAGGTTGAAATGACTTTGAAAAGCGGGATACTTTTGAAAATAATCTACTGCCTTCGTGCTGATATCATGCACACTTTTGTGGCGCATCTCCTGCGCTCACGCCCATGAACAGGACGATTTTCGTTACTTGGCCTTTTCCACGCGAGTTTGTTTGAAGCCGTTGCCACAGCTCTTGAGCATCATTGCTGCCCTCATTCGACTTTGTCGGCTCTTTCCTCTTCGTCAACCAGTTTGAGGTTCTTTGCCCAGTATATCACCCAGATGTCGGATATCAGAGATAAAAGTCGTAAACCGCCGTAGATTAAATGAGATCTAAATGGAATTTTTTCTATTGCTATAATTCCCATGATTTCCAAATAAAATTATACTTACCGTATTCGAAGTTCACGAGTGTTGTAGATTGAACAGGCACCAGTTTTATTGCACACTGTCTGCCACATCAAGCAACTCATGTCAAAGATCTTACCCCAGAAAACTGGGGATGGCAATGTGGCTGAAAAATATGGGGTAAGATTCTAGCCATTTAGCTTCTAACCATTCTTGTTTTCAAACGCGCCACGCATTTGAGTCCCATTCTAAAAAAATGAATGACAAGGAGGCCGAAAAGGAAACATGTTGCTCATGAAGCTCGCCATCAAAGTTCACTTCACACAAGTTGACGAGGTAAATGAAAGACCTAGGTTGAATTGTTTCACAGATGTTCCGCTACAAACATACACACTAAATTGCTCGGCACAATTACTTTTTACAATTTCGCTTCCTCGTTTCTGTGACCCTGCAAGCTCAGCTCTAGATATTAACTGCCCTTCCAGTACAAGGTGTTCGCCGCATACCAAAATGCCCCAGAAAAGCCCCAAAAAACAAGAATGCTAAATTTTACTTGAGCTGAAAGCGGTTGCCTTTTTGCTCCTAAACAAATGGGTAGACTCATAGTGCAGTACTTCGATTCATAAGTAACATAAACACTTACCTAGTAAACTCACGAGGAATCCATGGAAACCTAGAGAGATACTGCGATGCTCCGGTGGCACAGACCTAAATGATTATTGACTGATTTACACAACCCACTGACTACTGCAACCGTCATCCGGGCAGTTGATTGGGTCGCAAACGCGCTGGGGGCCGTCACCATTGCACGCGATGTCAGCTGTCTCCAGTCCTGTTTTGGTCCGTTTTCACTCTTGAATTCACTGTATTATTGTTTTTCGCACGATCAAGCTGGTTTTTGTCGCTCGATGAAAGATACGAGTAATACAGTGAAAATTAGGTGAGAATATGGTGATGGCTGGAAACAGCTGATTGCCGCGGTCGTGACGCGCCGCAGCCGCGTTTTGCGACCTTTTGACCGCCTAGTCAACTGTCCGGATGTCGACTGTACATGAGTGATGTTAGTCTAACCTGAGAACAATCAGCATTCCAGGCACGACAGATAGACCGGCAAATATCGCTCCTACGACTTTGTTGATAAGGAATATATGGAACTGGCCATCACAATGCTCTAAATCATCGGCTCATTTTATTGAATATTCCAGTGAGACAGACTAGTGCATGTGAAGCGTTTCAAAGGCGCATTCCACGCTCAATGTATGGGCAGAGATAGGAAATTGTTGTGGGTTCCATATTTTTGCGACCCTGTCCTAAGCAGATGACAGGATGGCGCGCCAACAGGCGCAGTACTGTTTTATGGCTCCACCCAATTATCAGCAGAAACTAAAGCAAAAACAAACCAGTTGGGCAGTATTTCCTGCTGACAACCAAATCATCAGTTCCGGCACATTCACACTCAGTAAACGTCGGTGCCATCCTTTTATCTGCCTGTTTAAAAGAAAACGGTAGTGCTGAAGAACATCGTGACAGAAACTTCGCTCTAGTTAAGACATACCTTCGCATAGATACTGAAATTCGCCCCGCCCAGAGGGCAGCCAGCCTGACAAGGCGAGTAGAAAATGTCACCCCTGAAAAAAAGAATTTTTCAACAGTCGTGAGGCGACTTGGAATGAACACAATATGTAACATTTTAAGGCAAGAAATTCAAAGTCTCCTTGAAAAATTTTGAAAACCTTCCAGAATTGTACTCACTTGCTATTGCAGACCGGATAGAAAGGCATCCCT